TGTTTTCTACCTACAATCAGTACATGATGTGGGTTTTGTTTAATTTAGCTGGATTGGTGGTTTCTTGTTTTCCCGTCTCTGTTTTTTTGCCCTGGTCGTTGGTTCTTTGATTAAGTATGAAGGATTTTGTGGCTTAAACTGGAGCAAAGATGAAGAAGATTGGACTGTAAATTCGGGATTATTTCTTCACTTTTGTTTTTCTTTTTCTGGAACCAGTTCTTTCTGGAACCAGTTTTTCTTTTTCGCAGAGTGAGTAACCAAATTCTGTTACCTCTTTTGATGTCTGTTTAATTGCTGAAATGATAGAAATTTTATTATTAATTTAATGGGTTTCCTTTCTACTTCAATCTGTTTGTGGAAAGTTTTTACTTCTTTATGCATGAAAAGTTGCATACATCTGAATGAATCTCGTGCTTTTGTCTTTAGACTTTATTCAATTTGGTGTTACTTTGGTCGATTTGTTCGGTTGTTTGGTTTCTGTGTCAGTTTGAACTAAGTTGGTTTCTGATTTGGGTTTCCTTTGGTTGATTTATTGAAGAACAAGAATTATGAACTGATTATTTTAATTCAGTTTGGCAGTGAATATTCATTTTAAAAATGATTTGTGCAGAGTTGATATTCAATTGCCCCCAGTTAAAGTAAGATACAGCAGTCTACATATAGAACCTAAGTGTGAAGTTGTTAGTGGGAAACCTCTTCCGGGTAGATAAAAAGGTATTTCCATTTCTCTGTATCCTTTAACTTGATGGTTATCCGATTTTCACCTTTGTTATCTACGATCTCTGCCCTTTCATTGTTTAATTCTGCTCTGCACTTCGACAGATCTATTTATTTAACTTACTGAACCAATTGAAATGGTGTAACTCAGCTACTGCCACTGTTTTTTACTGAATTTACTTTCTGTGAGTTCTTTATTCCCTGTTTTGACCAGTGAAGTTCTAAATAAATGAACATGTCTCTTTATTTTTGGCAACATAAAAGTTTTTTTACTTTTTGTTTTCCTCTAAAATGCTTCTGGAAAATCCTAAGGAGAAATCCAAAGCTGAAATTATTAATGGAATTGCTCTCACGAAACTTTTTTTGGTTAGCTGGTGGTTCTTCTGGATTTTTTGAAAATGAACCTTGGTGCCTTATATTACCTCAAATTGTAAAACCATGCATATCACTCGTTTTTGGTACAAACCTTTGCTCATCTTCCTTGTCATACAAAACTAGTACTAATCCCTCTGTTTCCTTCCATTATTGTTCGATTTCGTGATGTGGGTTTTGATCCTTCTTTTGTTTTTCGGCTATGAAGACAACAAAAATATGTTCTTGGGGGTTCATTTGGAGCGTTTGAGGTGTTTGACCCGTAACTTGGCGGGGCAAAAACCCTGATGGCAATCTCCCTTGATTTTGCAACTGCCCTTTTTGCAGCCATGGCGGTGATTCAGTCTCACAGATCTGAGCCTTAATCTTTCCAATTATCATTGCATTTGGTGTTTAGAGTTTGGTTGAATTTGATTTGGGTTTTGTCATATTCATCTTCTGATGGAGATCCAGTTTTAATTTTGGAGGAATTTTTCGCATCTGTATCATGATAGTTTTGTGTTCTTCCATTACTGCATTCCTTTTCGTATTCTGTGATTTTGATCAAAATGCAAAAGTGCAATTCTGACTCCAGTTTGCTATTTTTTTACTGATGCCATTTCCCATTAAACCTGCTTATGAGGTGAAAAAGGGCATTTTGAAGAATATTTGGGGAAGGGTGATTATTGTGAGGCTATATTGGTTTACTATGATGTTCTTTGTCTTTTAGCAAACAAATACGCACTCCTAGGTTAGAACCTCACTAGCTGCCTTGTTGGAGTTCTTTAAGTCAAGGAGGAGCGGACTAGATGGATATATTATATAAATGGTTAACTCCGATTGTGAACCCTTTACCATAAGAATTGAATAAATTCGCCAACCACAGTGAGGTGATGATATACCATTGAAGGCTGCATCCCCGCAGTCACCAATTGAGGTAGAAAGGGCAATCAAGATCATCGAAATCTACTTGTTAGAATTTCATAACTTTGTAATAGTTAAGAGTAGGATGATAGGAGAAAACGTTCATCAACTAACATTTGCTGCTGTAAATCTTTTATGTAAATCTGCAGTTATTATTACCTTTACATCCCATGTTATAAATGAAGTGCAAAATTTGGAAGATGGTAGAAGTCAAGGTAATAACAGTATTCGTTTATTTATCTTGTTAAGTTATCGAAATGTATCTTATTCCAAATCGTATGAACTAGTTCTACTTTCTTTATGAGTGTTAGACATTAATTTAGTATGGATTTAATTTAGTTAGATGTTGAAAAAATTGTAAGTTAGTTTTGATTTATGTTAGAAAAATATTGTGCAAAGAAAAAAAATAAAAAAAAGACATGTGAATAATGAAAAAGCAATTTAAAAAAGAAAAAAGACAAATGGAAATAAACATTTATATGAAAATGTTTATTTATGAAAAAAAGTCATATAAAGTACTTTGGGCAAAATTTAGTATTGGCCCCCAAAGTTTGGGGGGTAACTCAGGTCGGTTACCATAAAATTTTTCTCAACTATTTTAGTCCTCAAGTTTAAGTTTATTCAACAGTTATGTATATTTGACGATAAATTCATTAACTTTAATGGTAAATTAGAAAATCCGTCAATTATTTAATATTTTATTAATATTTCATCAATAATGAGACGCTAATATTTTATTTATTTATTTATTTTGAGTTTTTCCTCCAAAGCCCAAACCACCACTGACGGCTCGCCCTTTCGCCTTCCTCTTACTCACACCTCACCATTGCCCACCAGTTCATCCTCATACAATATTTCAACGATCCTTTCCACTAGCAAAGCATCGCATTTGATGCAGAAGCATAGCCAATTGATCATGAAATTCTCTATGCAATATCTATTGTTGTTTCTTGTTATGGATACTGCTATCATGGAGAATCAACATGGTAGGAAAATTCTACAAATTGGTGATGATCTTGGCTGAGACAGAAGAAAAAATCAGGCAAGTCAAATCTCCTTATTACCAAACAACTCAAATTGCGTTACCAAAATTCAATCTCTAGTTACGAAATTCACACATCAATGTCCTTATTAAAATCCAATCAAAAGAAATTGAATTTCAAGAAATTAAAAAAACCCAATAATTTATACACCTCAAAATCATAGCGAATCCGAACCAAATGATTCCTCAACCATTCCACCAGTTGCCTTCATCTTCCTTTTCCCCCCCCTAGTATTCCATAAAGAAGAAAAAGAACCCTAATTAATGAATTATTATTCCTTTCCCTGCTCCAATATTAAGATGTGAGGAATTCATACTGATAGCAGTAAATTTGTAGCTAAAAAAAAAATCAATTTGTGAAAAGAACTATGGCTTAACTTAGACCCTTTTATAGTAGATCCTTAGTGGCGTTTCTGCTTGAAATCATGAAACAAGAGGATTTTGTAAATCAAATGGAAATTGCATGTGGATAATGGGAGATGAATTAAAAGGGATAAAATGGAGAAGGTGGGAAGGGAGGATGAACAACTGGGTGGGTGGCGGTGCCAACGGCAGGGTGGGGGGAGTTGAGAGGGAAGGTTTTTTTTTTTTTTTCTTTGACTTATTTGTTTTGATTTTCTGTTTTTTTAACAATTAAATACAAGTAAAAAATCATGGGACCCACTTCAGTGAAAAATTAATAATATATTGAACAAATAACGGATTTTGGTCATTCACCGTTAACTTAATGTATTCTCCCCTCAAATGGACTATAGTGTTGAATAAAACTAAAAATGGTGACTAAAACCGTTGAAGAAAATTTTTTGATGACTCACCTGAGCTACCCTAAAATTTGGAAATTTGGGGACCAATGCTGAGTTTTTCCCTAAAAAGTTCTGCAAACACGAAAACAACAACCTTGAGTCTTGAGTTAATGTTTGCACCAAAAAATAAAATAAAATACTAATAACTAAACAAATAAATAAATAAAATTGAAATAAAGAGTTATTTAGAGTATGTGATTTCTAAAAAAGAAAAAATAAAAAATTAGAAGCAGCACTGCAAATTGGCTCGAGTTTTCAGTTGAGATCTCACTGCTGCCAAGGCAAATATTCTTTTGCAATTTAAAGAGACTTTGTTGAATTTTTTAAGAGGTAAGTATTGTATTATTACTTTATTATTAGTTGCATTCATATATCAATTTCGTGTAAAGCTTAATCCCCGTTTCCTTCCAGGCAACTACTTTTGGACAATTCTCCCTTATTGTCAATAATCTAATAGTAGTATTAATTAATAGGTGTACTGTTTCAAAGAAAAAGTAAAAATAAATAAATAATAGCAATAGTAGTACAAAGCTAATGGCAAAGTATTGTAATTTTAATTAAGGTTCTGCCTTCATGAAAGATAATGCTTAATTAGTCTTCTTGCTCTCAACTTGATTCTCTTCTGAAATTTTCATTTCCTCATCTCTCAACTCTCTGTTATCTTTTGATATTTTTTCTTCTCTCAAGTCCCTCTCTACCACCAAGAATTCCTTGTTTTTGTTTTTCCGAAAAAACTTTCTTAATTAATTGGATCAAGAATCTGCGTTGACTTGTGCGAAGTTATTTAGATCTTGGGGCCGATCAAGTTTCCGTTGGAAATTAGAAGGCCGAAAAGGAGAAGATTAGCGATTTGGTCAATCACAATCACTTAAGAGTCTATCAACAAAGGTACGAATCTTTTGTTTTTCTTAGCTCAGCAGGTTCTACAGGATTACTGTTTGTAGGTTTGATGGAGCTTTAGCAATATTTACACGATTGGGAACCAAAAGAGCTTTATATTATTGTTGTTGTTGTTGAATCAGTAACATATAACTCCAGCTATTGTCGTCTCAAAATTATTAAAAATGCAAAGTCTAATTTAACTTTGTTTCTTCATTTTTCAGAAGATCTCCCCATTTCCCAAAACAAAAAAGAAAAGGAAATTCTTTTTGGCAGTTACAGAGATGTATTCCAGAGAGTCTATTGTTCAAGATGCCTTAGATGAGCTCCAGTCCATCAGCCAAAAATTTTCTGATTTATTCCCACATAGGGAACTTAATCGTCTGCGGCAGTTGTTGGAATGGGGGAGATGGTTTTATTTGTGGGGAAGAAAGTGGGGCGATGAACAAGATGTGGGCTGGGAAACTGCTGTGTGTACAGTGGAGGACACTCTTCACAGACATTCCCTGGAAACTCTGTTTCTTTGTCTCACGTTGAATGAGAAATTGCTGAGGGTTGATGATTCTGATGAGAGATGGGATGATGATTCGAAGGGATGGGATGATGTGGTTATAGATTTTCTTCGGAGAATTATTGGATCGGTGCAACCAGCAATTGAGGAATTGGTCCGAATGTTGGGGACAGATCTCACATTGCAAACAAGATCTTCTTCTCGAACAGATGTGAAGCAACTGCTGGACAGCGTCGACTTCATTCTTCACAGTTTGCAGAGTCTTGAATCTCAGAATCCCAACGCAATTGAAACCGTAACGTTCATGAAGAACTTCATTCGCTTTGCTACGCTTCACGGACTTGAGGATAGGCAAATCATCGGAGATCTCTTGACTTACTTTGAACCGGTAATTATTCAATCTGCAAGCCTCCTTTTTGAATTTATTAAATCTGGAAGCCCACTTTATTCTGTTTCTCGTGATGAACTTATGAGAAAAATTGTGCCAGTTGAGTCGCGTGTTTGTGAGATTTATGTTGGTGTCTTGCAAGATGTTTCGAAGTTTTCAGGGTCCTACTTCCATCCCACTAAAGAAACTCATGCTTTGGTGTTTAGAGACTTTGTGGATTGTCTCATTTTTCTGATTTTGAACCTTTTCTTCCGTGATGCCATTTTTGTGGACATGTTTCACCACGAAATGCATAAAGTGCATGAGGGACTCTCATTCTTGAGAACCACTCTGTCAGAGCACCATGACAAGCTTGATGACCTCATTAGACCTTTGATTTGTGAGGCAGGCAACCTAATTTTTCATCTCTATCAAGAAAATGGAGAACAAAGAGGAAGGTTGGTTGCAAAATTAGAGCTCCTTTTTTCCAATTTCGAGACAAAACTCCAAATTACTAAGGATGCAGAAGAAGAAGCGCCAAGGTTTCCACCAACATCAGCATATCCCCAAACAAACTTGTTGGGTTTTATTGACTCTGTCTTGGAAAAAATAAAGTCATTCCTGATTCAAGTTTCTTCAGAAAAGGATAAGTTCCAAGCCCTCCACGATGATCTTACAGTTTTAAGATCTTTTGTAGTCCATGATAATGGGATGACGATCCAAGATCTCTCGAATCGCATTGCAGCGGTAGCTTATGACACGGAGTTTGTACTTGATTCTTTTGTTGTTGCTGGTAAACCACTTCAGACAAGCCTTATCGTGCAGCTTGATGTTATCATAAAAGAGATTGAGCTTATTAAGACTCAGGTCTCGCAGATTCCTTGGAGTATGGAGCCAACCATTGCAGTTCAAAAGATTAGTCAAGCTAACCTAAAGATGGCACCAGCAGTTGGTAAGATCCCAAATTCCAATGAGAGAGTGGTGGGCTTGGATGACGAGGCAAAAATCATCATCGATAGACTCACTAGAGGGACAAAACAGTTAGATGTGGTTTCGATTGTGGGCATGGCCGGATTAGGTAAAACTAGTTTGGCCAAGAAAGTTTATCATCATTCCCACATCTCTCATCACTTCCAGGTTCGCTCTTGGGTTACTGTGTCTCAAGAATACAACACAAAAAGTTTGTTGATTGGGATTTTAAGCGGTCTGGACCAAGATTCAACTGAAGAGTATATAAATATGAGGGAAGATGATTTGGCTGAAAGACTCCGTAAACGGTTGAAGGGAATCAGGTATCTTATCATCTTGGATGATATTTGGGATACTCAAGTATGGAATAGTTTGACAATGTCTTTCCCAGACGATGATAAGGGTAGCAGAATTCTCCTAACCAGTCGACAGGAGACTATTGGTTTGGAAATCAATCCACACTCTGAACCTCACCGTCTTCGTGCACTAAATGATGATGAGAGTTGGGAATTATTTCGGAAGAAGATGTGCTTTGACCAAAGTTGTCCATCGGAAGAAGTAATTGCTCGTGCCAAGACAATAGCAAAATCCTGCAAGGGATTGCCGCTGATGATTTTAATTGTTGCAGGATTTCTCGCTAATACAGAGCCAAGTAAGTGGGAAGAAGTTGAAGAAATGCTAAAAACAGGTACTGCAATGGCTGTAGATCAGTGCAAGGAGACTCTTGAGTTGAGTTATCGACATTTGCCAAACCATTTGAAACCATGCTTTCTTTATCTGGGAGCGTTTGAAGAGGACGAATCAATGTATGTTCACAAGATTTTTCGGCTATGGATTGCAGAAGGATTCGTGCAGGAAACTGCAGGAAGAGAGTGCTTAGAGGATGTTGCAGAGGGTTACATGATGGAGTTGGTACAGAGAAATCTAGTGATGGTTGCAGGAAGAGATTTCCGAGGTCAGATGCGACGGTGTGTCCTTCATGACTTGCTACGCGATTTCGCCATAGCAAGAAGCAAAGAAGAACACTTTATGCATCGGCTACATGGTCACCAGCTTAATGGTTGTGTTGAGACTAGCCAGCCGTACAGGTTAACTATTGATTTCAGAGGACCGGAGAAATTCTCAGAATCGAGGTCCCTCTATACTCGTCTACGCACACTGTTGTTTGTTACAAAACCCAAAGTCTATCCACTAACAACATCTCTATACAAGTTTTTCCAGTTCAAGCTTATAAGAGTTTTGGTCTTAAGCCGACTATTTTGGTTTGATACATTTCCATGTGTGATTCTACTACTTGTCAAGTTGAAATACTTGGATTTCGCAGTTTCTTTTACTTCAAAAATAATCATCCCATCGTCAATTCTCAATCTCTCAGATTTGGAGACTTTGATTGTTGGTGATGGGAGAGTTTTGTTGCCGGATACTTTGTGGGGTATGAAAAAATTAAGGCATCTGGATGGAGCTCGGGAGTGGGTATTGCCATCAGAGATTCCCGTAGCCAATTTGGAGAATTTGCAGACTTTCTCGACTGTAAAATTCACCTGCAGCCAAACGATGGTGGGAGTAGTGAAGAAGTTACCAAATCTCCGGACACTACGCTGTGGTCTCAATCTGGGTGGACGAGAGTGCACTGTGGATTTCATCACTTTGTATCAACTCGAATCACTCTACATCAATATTTTTCGTAGGCCGAAGTTTTTTCAATTTCGATTTCCCCATAATCTAAAGAAACTAACTCTGGATTCAACTTGCCTTACATGGAGTGAAGTTTCAGCTATTGGAAGGCTACCAAATCTTGAAGCTCTCCGATTGAATGGGGATGCATACACGGTGGAAAATTGGGACATTGAAGAAGAAGGCACATTCCCCAAACTCAGAGTGTTGGAATTATACAACATGACCAGTTGGGAGAGATGGACAACGGCTTCGGATGACGACTTCCCATCTATTGAGACATTGATACTCAAACGCTGCTTAATGTTAAAGGAAATCCCTTCTTGTATAGCCCAAAGTTCAACCCTTCAGATGATTAAGGTCAGGGATTGTCCACGTGTCTTTGATTCGATAAAGGAAATTCATGAAACACAGATGGATTATGGAAATGAAGATCTACAGATATATCTCGACAAGGAACAACTAACAAAAGAGTAAGCTCCCAGACTCAATATTGTTGTGATGTTTCATCTTTAGTTCTTTATATATACATTTTTTTTTTATTCAACTGAACAACGGTGTTTCTTTCTGAATGAAATTATCGTTTGCTAAACTAACCTCTCCTTTTTTTTTTTTTTTTTTCTTTTCTTCGTGTCTTCCTCAATTAGTTTCCATTTTCAAAAAAAAAAAAAAAAAACAATTGTATGGTGACAGTAGCTAAACATATGATTGTAGGTGGCAGTACTGATATTGTTGTTAATTCAAGGCGATTTTTTTTTTCTTTTTTCTGTTTTTGCATCATTATTGTTTATCATAGATCATAGAGTAATCAATGCTATCTTTTCCGGTACCGATTTGATACTCTTATTAGTGTAGAGAAAATGTTCTCTGCTACTTATTCTTGTCCTAGATGTTTTCCTTTCTTTTTTTTTTTTTTTTTTCCTTTTTTTCCCTTCATATTTTGATGGGCTTTTTTTAGTTGGAATGTCAACGAAAAGTAGTAGTTTTAATGTCTAAAGTTGAAATCTTTTTATACGGGATGTTTAATACCGATTGATTGATTGTGTCAATGAAATTATCTTAAACAATCAAGTCTTATCATGGAAGGCAGCTTCAAGATTTCGGAAGTTAATTTGGAACATACAAGCCTGACATATCTTTCTTTTCTTTTTGGTACAGGAACTATGAGGTAATTCAAAGCAGATACGATTCAGACGAATATTTATTTAAGTTGGGTAGTCGCTTTGCATCAATGAGAAAATTTCTCCAAATATGTATGTCAAAGACTACCCCACTAAGACGAAATAAATGATTTAGGTAGAAGACTCAAATAGCTTAGCTTGGCTGTTGTTCATTCACACCTTCATCTGAGTTTGGCGGTTTTGGAACCAAAACTTGACTTGAGGGTTTCAGCCCTAAATCATGGTCAAGCCTTTGCCTTTGCTTGTCATGGTTGTATTAAAAACATGAGTTTTTTTAACTTGTGGTTAACAATAAACAGGATATCGTATCACGTACTGGTTCCAGACACTCATATTTTCAATACATCTATACTGGAGAAATCAATTCTGTATGATTTTGTACAAATGATTTAGCAAATAAGAGTATATAGTTTTGGATGAGAAGAGTTTATGGTCATTTGAGAATGTTAAGTCATATACTCTTTCCAATCCAGAAGCGATTATCTACTTTGATTTTTTTTTTTTTAATTTAAATTTTATCAAAAGCGAAAATTAAAATCGGATAATTATTTTTTAGACAGATAGGGTATTACAAAGGGGCACATTAACTCGCAAAAATCGTTTGTGTTTTTTAATTTCCAGACCTACATTTCAATAAGTATGTTGTTTTTGCAAAATCGCAATAACCTTGTCAGTTTCATCTATTTTCAAGACTCTCCAGTGGCGAAGACTCTTGAAACACTGATTTTGCTGCAATAATTTCCCGAAATTGTGTGTTTATATGGTAGTTACTACTGCTAAACCTTCCTCAACACAAGATAAACACGGGAAATTTTCAGTCTTCCCAAATACAAAGCTTTCGATGCTCTATCACATCTATATCAACGCTACAGTGATGGAAACCTATTCACCAGGAGTTGCTTATGAATGTACTTATTGTTCATTTAATTTGCAGTGTTAATCTCATGTATGGTCCTTTCTGGAAGAATCTTTAATATTTTCAACTCAACTATGCATAATTCCATCAAAGAAGCCAAGTGCTTGTTTGAACAGCGTTTTGTTTTAGTTTTTTATTTGGATTTGAGAGGAGATTTAAAAGGTAGTTTAGTTTTTGATTTGGATAGTATTATAATATAGTGATCATTTATGAAATTAAAATTGTTCAGTGACCAAAGTGAAGACTTTACAATAATTTAGTGACCATCGCCGTAATTTTTCCCTCACCACCGGATCACCTCCACCGTGGGGGCCGCCGCCGCCGCCGGCCAGCCGGATCCCAGTCAAATTCCGGCGAGTTGGCCGGAACCCGGTCGGCTGGTGGGCGGCCGGCAGCTGTGGTGGCCAGTGGTATAGAGGTGGTCCAGTGGTGATTGACAAAAATTATGTAAAAATAATGTTTAAAATATTATTTAAAAGGTAAGTTAAATTGGTGTTTGGATGGTGTTTTGTTTTGCATTAAGATTTGTGTTTAAAAGGTGAAATGAACCAAAAGGCAAACGAAATGGTTGTCCAAACAAGGCCATTATGCAGTTGATGTGGTAGTGACTTGATTCTTTAGTAATCAGATTACAAGGAGTATAGCAAAAAAATAGAACATAAACAAATCAGACAAGGACAAAATATTTCATAGTTTAAACTTTGATCATCATTATTATGACATACAATCAATTATATATACACATCATTGATCGTTCCATTCATTTATTTTGTGAAAAAGATTTCCATCAAATCTAGTCTTCAAATAGAAACCATCCGATTTCACTAGCCAAAAGACAATATGACCTGGGGCACAGTGGCTTATTCTGCGATCGAAAACTACCATATATCTAACCTTTCCAGCCCACCAAAATGTGCAATAATATTTTGGATTTTTAAAAATGCCTGATCAAACCCGAAACAAAACTCCGCGAAAGGATCAAGTACATGACAGCCAAAATCATCACCGTTTTCCTCGTAACAATGGTATTTTAGAGTGTTGCCATCTCTAGGTAACTCGCTCTTAATGTACCTTCCCAGTGATATCCTAGATTAGGTTTTGTTGTAGATAAAATACATAGGATGAGCAGATGAAGAAGTGAAAGGAATGAATTTTCAAAAGTATGACTCATGTTGTTGTTGTTGTTTAGGGATAATCGAGTTATGTGATCTCATGATTGAAGACGTATTTATAGAGTGCATAATCATTAGATTTGGTGAATCTGTCTTAAGGAAATTGTTTGATGTGTCTTGTGGATATTATTGCAGAGAAGCAGTGTTACTTGAAATCAAATAATATTTCCATTGGTACTTTTTTTTTTCTTTTGTGGACATATAGAGTAAGAAATAGTTTTCAAAGTTTTCTATCATCAAGTTATAGGTTGTCAAATGTTCACAATTTAACCAATCAATGCATGAAGTGTAGAAAAAAAGATTACTATTTTAGTAAACTATCGATTTTGATGAAGGTTAAAAATTGGAGAAATTAATTGTTGATGCAAAATATTTATATATACATATATATTTACGTAATAATATATAATATATAATATCGACCATGTTTATTATAACTCTTATAAAAAAGACAAAAATTTCATTATTCCGACTCTAAAATTTTAATGAATTTCATATTTTTTTCGTTATAATAAGAGCAGGATGGGTTTTAAATTTTTATATTTAGATCTGATCTCCATACGAGTCAGATTATGTATAGACAGAACAGGGAGATTAAAAATCTAGAAAATCGAATAAATAAATATTTAGATTTTTATATTTAGATTCTAAATTTTTGTTGTGTGTATTGTGCGTGAAAAAATTTTTAAAGTTAAATAAAATTGAGGTTGTAAAAATCTCAATAGGCTTTGATTGTTTTTCACATTCTTTTTGCGAAAGAGTTCATTTTTTTTTGTGTCAACAAACAAGATTATTTTTTTAGACGAAAAGGAATGATGTTTTCAGAATGGTCCTTTTTTTAATGCAGAAAAAGAGAGCTCCATTTGACAATTTATTATCCATCCATTTTACCATTTCCAACAAAATGAAAAAAAAAAAAATTCCATCTGTTATAATCCTTTCCAAAAAAAAAGTCAACGTCCTAATGTAATGGTCTTCTCATCAATTTTTGGTCAATATTTTGTATAGCAATTAGGGTTTAGCAATTAGATCATTTCTTGATGCAGATGAGAAACTTATACGAAAAACATTCGAAAGCAATGACTATTGACCAAATTCTGATGGCGTAAAAAGCTAAAAAGTCAACTCTACTTTGTACCAAACGAACAAAAGGCAATAACCTAATTAAAAAATTCAGAGTTTATTGAAGTGCCAACAGCACTGAAATTCGAATGTCCTTTTGACGTTGCCTTTGGTATCTCAGAACCCCTTGATTCGTGTTTTTTGTAATATTAGTTAAATGACATATTGTGGCTTACCTAATTAGTTCAACTGTCACTAGAGCAAATTAACAATCAATAAACTACAAACTCCAAAACATTCTCCCCGGCACAACACTATTATTAATAAGTGGACTACAAACCTCTAACAATACTATATGAGACACGTACTATATACATCTCTAACACTTATATATTGTTATATTGTTAAGTATCTGTTTGATAATACTACTTATCGCTTAAAATTAGTTCCTTAAGTACTTTTTGATTTTAACATGTTTAATAACAAAAATTGAACTTTTTAATAAATTAATTGGTGCTAAAACTGTCGTACAAGATATAATGTACATACTCAACGAGAATCCGATTTCGATGAAATATACATACTCAATGAGATGCTATGATAAAAAGGGTTAGTTGCTAATTAAGCTTAATTTTCTCTAGTGACAAAATGAACTCTAATTCCAAAGTAACAACCTTGACATTGATAAACTAATTAGTAATTGATTTCATCTTTTGCCGCATTTGGGCATTACATTACAAATTGATATTGGACTTTCACACATACGTTTTGTCCCAAAAGAAATAGAAAGACAAACTTGTGAATTTGCTGTTGTATTCTTTGGTTGGGTGTTAGAACTTCCATTTCCCATTAGGCCAGTAGGTTTGAACAAAGTTTAGAGATTGATACTGAAGGGAAAACCCAAAAAAGTTATTATAACCAAAAAGAAGAAGAAAGAAAACTATCTGGCTAATTGAAGAAACATAAACCAATATTTCAGAATTGAAAAACAGAGTGAGTATGAAGCCTAAAAGGGATGGTAATTAATATGTGCCTTTTCTGTGGAATAAAAATCTTCTGTAGTATCAGAAACATGTGCAATCTTTGAGTGAGGTATATGAAATTGGTATTTTCTTTTCCCTCTGTAATCTGTATCTATGAAAACTAAAAAGAGTAGAGTAATAAAAAAAAAAAAAAAAAACAGGGCATAATTGCCTCAATTCATATGATTGGATGAATTTGCAGCAAAAAAGTAACCCTGTTCTTCCATCTGGGATGTATATAAACTAACTAAGGAAGAGTTTCCAATGTTTTCCATTTGGAAATGACATTGGCAATCTTTACCTTCAAACTCAATCTGATATATCTGTTCTGCTTCAAACTCTATAGAAGAAGTAGTTGATGATTTGCAGCTTCTATAGAAAATGCAACCGATGACAGTATCCAAGACGAGGAGAATTGTGTATAAATATGCTATGAATATCCCTTCAAAAACAATGGATGAAAAGGGAGATTCTGACTCATGAATTGCTCTTATAATTCGGTATTGAAATAAGGCCTCAAGTGCTGCCAGTGCAAGGTTAACAGGAAGAGCCAAGGATAATGTTGCTGCTGTTCTTCCTCGAATCACGACGCAAGCCTTGAGAATCCCAATGTATTCGCTGGAATTTTCCATCCCTGAGACTATTAATGAAAGATTGAAAATGATGAGGGAATTTGCAAGAACTATAGAGTAAAGAACAGCTCCTGTGGCTGAAAAGATCAGCAGTGTTTTCGGGTTCACAAGGCCTAATCCATCGGCGCAGTTGAACGCGAAGAACAGGATGCAGAAGCAGGTTGCATTTGCGGAGATCATTAGTATCATGTTGCAAAGTTGAGTGTAGAAAAGGGGACCGAAAAGAGAATTGAAAAAGGCGAAAGGGGTTCGCGAGACGGCCTTACGGTTATTAGACAAAGTATGGATTACAAATGCCTTGGTGAAAAGGAAGAAGGTGAAGATGAAAGGAAAATTAGATAAGATGTTGCAATGGTCTGAGACAGCTTGATGTTAAGAATTGCGAAGAAATCCGATGACCTTGGAAAGCCGGCAGCATCGAAGAGCGATTGCAGCCGGTTGTGAATCCCCTGAAGCAGAGCAGATGATGGAATTGCAGATTCTGACAACAGAAGTAATGCTGCATAATGTAAGGCAAGGATTGCTGCAGTTGTGGCGAAAGATTGATAATTTTGCAGAAAAGTGTAAACTGATCTTCTGAGAATTCTGACTGTTTTCCCCATTGCCCATTGGGATTCTTGAATGTTCTTCCATGGATGAATCAAAGTGTAAAAATCTCAGTCTTAAAACTGATATGAAAGAAATCAAGAAACACAAAAAAAGGGTACTATATAAAGAGAAGTTTGGAGGAGTTTGGAGAATTTAGTATTCTCGGAAGAATGGATTGGCCAACAACCTAAGGCTAACAAATCCCGAAGGGATGGAGTTGTTGTTGTTGTTGTTTGAAGTTAATTTGTGATCACCTTGGAGGGAATTGTTGTTGGAACTCGTTGTGATAAACTCCTCTTCTTCCTTGTAAAAATCTCCAACCTTTCTCCTTACAAATGAAGTAGTTGGCTGACTTATTAGGAGAGGTCGGAAAGACTATCTATTTCATGATGATTAAAATAACATCATAACATGATGTATGCGTATGACCCTCTCCTCTTTCTTCTTTTGCTTGTTACTGAAAACTGCCCAAAGTTTGGTGAATTATAGAGCACTCTAGGTTGCTCACCCTTTGATATACATTATATAATATTGCCATGCATTTTTTACATGGGGTAAACTATTGGACTAAGATCCAATTAAAAGCAAAGTGGCTAGCTAATAATGAATATTGATTATCTCCTTCCTATCTCACAATAAAAGCCAAAATTTTGAGTATATATATTGTATATACTCCGAGTCTTAAAATAAGTGTCATATTGATAATTTTATTTTCGTTTAAGTACCACTGATTTTTTCTTTTTTCTTTTTTTTTTAATTATTTTGAGATGGAAAAGGATTATTATCACTTCTTTTGTCCTATAAAAATAATTTAAATTAAATATTGAGATTTGTATAATTTTTAATATAAATTCAAAACTTAATATAAACTATTTTTAAGGGATAGTAGAGTATTATTTTGATCAAGAAACGTGTCCATGCCTCGATTAAAAAAAGAATGCCTATATTACATAGTCTTGCTCTACATACTTACATAGTTATGTTTTGAAAATCAGACCGGACCGGGCGGTCGAACCAGTTCAATTGAGAGTCAGAGCCCTCCTCAGTCCGGATTCGGTTAATAACCGAAAAACCTAAAACTGGTCGAACTCAATCAAACCAAGACAAACCCTTGGTTTGACTGTGAACTGGTTCCGGTTGGACCTATTTTTTAAAACTTTAGAAATAAATTATTTTTTAATATTTTTATAGCCGGTTTTGACCGATTTTTAAGACCGATTCAAACTAGTTGAACCAGTGAACCAATGAACCAATTAAGTTACCGGTTCACCTTCCGGTCCGGTTTTCAAAACATAGCTATATAGGGAGTTATTCGTTGTAAGTTGTTTTGTCGTCTTTCCATCAAAGTAAAATAATATACTTTATTGACTATTTTTATGGAATTGTGAGAGCAGTAATTTATGCATATGAGCTTAAGAATTTTTTTTCCCAACCGTAACATTTACTTTGTAAATATGTGATTAATTGTAACGATTATACCAAAAAAAAAAGCACATAATAAAATCACAAGAGTACAACTTATTTTTTCTCCGAACAATGGAAGTTGGACTTAGTTTTAAATAATTTGTCTTTGTTTTGCCCTATATACTTTCAATTCAGCAAGATTTTTTTTTTCATATTTACAGGGTGTCTACCGTCGGCAACAGTGACCAGTGATGGAGATAGGGGGACCAACACGGGCGGTTGCCTCACTTTCCTAATTTTTTTTATTAAAGGAGGATATAATATTTTAGCATAAAATTTTAAAAAATTATCATTTTGCCCCTGCTATATAAATAATTTATCATTTCGCCCCTGCTATTTAGGATTCCTGGCTCCGCCACTAACAGTGACTAATCCTCCTTGCTGAATTGTAGGCACCTCGATGGATGGAATAACTGGCCAAAGTATTTAAGGTCACTCCATATCCATGGCGATGTTTGAACCCTCGACCTATAGTTAAGGGTGGAGGAGTCTCTTCCACTGTACTACAATCACTTTAGTTTCAATTGAGCAAGATGATAATAAATTTTTATATTTCTCTGTCTAGCCTCCTTAGACCTAGTCAGATCTCAAGAACCTATGCAAAATGCAGATACGGGTTGACTAAAACCGTAGTGGGATGGAAATGGAAGCAAATTTTTAATCCCACCATTTTGTTTTTTTGTTTTTTTTAAAAAAAATTCTGCCCAATTTTTTTCACTATAACTATTTTGAGACATAGAGAATGTTCTGCATTTTTTTTTTTGGCAAATAAAAAGAGGGAAAGGGCTTTGACAATGACTTTTCTTTAATCACGCACGCCCCATGCCACTCTTAATAGAATTTGATTATTGAACATTTGATTACTTTTACATTTATTTCTCGGTTACACAATGATCATTCTTTAGGTAGAGGTTATAAATATACATGAAGACAAAAGCTTGTGCAATTGTTTTTGAACTTATTGAGAAGAATCCTGCAAGTAAATAAAATAAAATAAATTATTCATAATTAAACAGGTCAATATCACACAAATGGTTTACCTCAAATTTCAAAATGTAAGATTGCATTTACTTCTCTGTTCGTAATCATTAACTTCTCTGGTACGTTGACACATTAATTTTTCCTTAATCTAAACTTTGTATAATGATGAACGTTAAGCCACAAAATATTATTAATGATAATAATAATAATAATAATAGTAATAATAATAATAACTTGTAAATTGTGAACAAAGACCAACTCCCTTAGTTCGCAACTGTTTAATTTCAATATATATATATATATATATATATAAGTGTATAGTACAACATCAAATGAACTTTATCTACAATTGATGAATTTCTAGATAGATACTGACATTAAAAATTCAATTATCAGTAACATTTGCTCTCCTTTTTTTTTTTCAGTAACATTTGTCATTTTATTTGGTTTCTGGATTTCAAATGCTCCCACGAATGAAACAACCATATACACTTCCTGCCTCCAGCAAATAACAACTATCCGTCCATTTTAATTGCCCAAATTTGGTACTACCATTATTGTCCTTTCTTTATTTACAGAATTTAAATGCTCGAATTTAGTCTCACCAACAAACCATCCTACATTACTACCCCATCATAATGAAGGTTCTTTCAACCATTTGTTGCTATTGTACCCTTTACGATTCCTAATTTTTTGCTGGACTTATTCATCGGTTTTTATGACTAGGTAGATTGATTCGGTCGACCTTCATGAATACTAAACTGGAAAGCTAGCTAGGCTACTCTCTAATCTTTTATCTATATATATAGGGGATGATGAATCATAGGGAATCGCAAGTGATGAACTACTTCATTAGCTTTGGCTCCATATTTGTCTAGAACGAGAGCTTGTGAATGTCAGAATGCGGAGGGAAAAAAAACCCAATACAAAAAAAGAAAAAAAAAAAAGAAGAAAGAAGCATTCTGAATGAAGCACAAGCTTTCTACAATTCCTTGCTAAATCAAAGGTAATAGAATTATTTCATTTTTCCTTGTCTTTTGTTGGTCTTAATGTTTTAATCGTTATATCATTTGCATTTGTCTGTAAAATATTTTTTGGATGTCCGAATCCAATTGATTGATATGAAATTTAGATGTCACGATCTACAATTCTTAAAAACAATAACTTCTTCCCTTAGATTTGACTTCTATAGAATTTCAGGGCACTTTATCTTCTTGTTTCATATATATATATATATATATTTCTTAAATTAGATGTATATCTATAATTAATATATTTGAACAGAAACATCTAGTGTTGCATCTTGACTGTTGGTTGAACCACTTGCATATTGCATGCACTGCAGATCGGTAAAGACTTGGGTGGTCTAGGGTTTGGGTACCCGTTCAATTGACCGCGGATTGTTTGGGGGGAATTTTATCTAAATGAAGCTTCCGATGCATGCTTCATTGGCCTCAATCATCAGAACAGCGCAACATGAGTTAGACTCAATCTATAGCCCCTGGCCATTTTACAAGTGGGGAAGAGATATTGTTGGTCCTTTTGACAAGGATCTGGAGGGGCCTGATGGTTGATAGTTGCGGTGGACTACTTTACCAAGTAGTATCCCAAGAATACTATGTCCATTCTAAGAAAAAAATCACTTAATACTAGAAATTAAAATCTCAAAAATCGACTTCTGACATGTAAATCATCTAAAATTCGTTACACAAATAATAAATATACATTACATTCTATGCAGTTTTCCTATATTTTCAATATGTAAGATTAATAATCCAATTTACAAATTTTAATTTTTCAAATCGGACTTCTTATTTTTTCGGGACAGGATGAGCCTCAAGTTTAAAAAATTGTAGGTGGAAGACAACATGGCAAAGCACGTTTTAGTCCAACAAAGATAATACACTATAAATATGAGTTTAATTTTTATACAAAATGAGTAATTTGCACCTTTTCCCAGTTTTTCACTTTCTTAAAAGATATTATCGTCCAAAACCACTTTGCGGAGACTAATCCAGTTTGATGTGAATTAATTCTGTCAATTGTTGTACGTATACTCATAACAAGGAATTTCTTAAAACCATGATCGTGCTAAGCTGATTCTGCACTTTTTAGTCATGTAGTCCTAGTGTATATTGATGCACATTTCTCATTTATCTTTGGTAGGATTGAAACCAAGTTCCCAAAATTCTGACAGGGAATAGATAGTACAAAGTAAAATATTGAAATAATATCCAATACATTGCTTCTGATGCAGCTTGAATTTTTGCTACTAACAATCCAACAACACCCCTTTAAAACAGCCCATTTTATAAGTATCAAGTTTGTGCTTTATCATCTCAATACTTTCTTCTTTCTACTTTCCTCTTCTTGTGGCGGAAAGGGTATAAACACAACAAACCAGCGGAAACGATTCCCAAGAAAAACTCCTTTCCTACAACCAATAAAATAGGACAATCAACCAAATAAGCAAAATAATTCAAGAACTGATAAAGTTAAGTAGACACACGAATTTTCGTAAAAAACCCAAATTGGGAAAAACCACGGGACTGTAACAACAGTCAAATCTCCACTATCACAATAATGGAGAACAGTCTTCA